TGGCTGTTCATACTGTATCTCGACAACTGTTTACAGAAGCTGAAAGATAGCTGTTTGGGTGTGAAATTGGATGACATACAAGTAAAATGTCTGCTGTATGCTGATGATGCAGTGCTTATTGCACCATCAGAGGCAGAACTGCAGGCATTAGTCACGTGTATGAAAGAGGAATGTGAAATTAAAGGTCTCCGTTTGAATGCTAATAAAACTAAGGTTCTGGTATATGAAAGGGACGAAGAGAGAACGAAGTGTGAAATATGGGTAAATCAGGAATGTCTAGAACAGGTAAATGAAATTGTATACTTGGGGAGTGCTTTTAGCCGGGATGGAAGATGTGATTTAGATGTGGACAGGCGTGTCGCTGCCGGGAACAAAGTCAATGGTGCCCTGACTGCGTTAGTCAAAAGGCAAGGCGTAGCGAAGAGTGCACGCCTTGCAATACATAACGCAGTGTTGGTACCGACTTTGTTATATGGCAGCGAAACCTGGGTATGCCAGAAGAAGCATAAAAGTAAGTTGAATGCAGTGGAGATGCGATCTCTTCGTAAAATGTGCGGCGTTACTATGGCCGACCGAAAGCGAAACGAAGAGATTCGCAATATGGCAGGTTTGAAAGATGACCTTATCACAAAAATTGATAAGGGCGTGCTTCGGTGGTTTGGGCACGTTGAGCGAATGAGTGAAGATCGAATGGTGAAGAAAATATATAGCGCGAAAGTTAATATTAAAAGGTGTCGAGGTAGACCGAGACTAACTTTCGAAGACCATGTGAGCAAATTGCCCGAAGAAGGTAGGGTTAAGAGTACTCGGATACCTAGACGTGCATGCATGAAGAAGATAATGAATCTGAAAGAAGCGAAAGAGGTTTGTAAGGATCGTGACACTTGGCGATCTGTTCTCTCTGGCTACCCCGTCAGGGATTGTGCGTGAAGATAAGTAACAATTATTTACACTCTCCAAAGAAAGAAAGAAAACCACAGAATACTTTTACTCCTAGCGGAGAAAGAAAACTGTTGAAAACATACAAAAGGCGAAACTGTTTTATATACATAGAGATAAATACAGGCGGCGCCATCGTTTGATCGACTTGTTCATGTTAGTGAACTTCATCATCATCATTACAGCCTTTCATAAGTCCACTGCTGAACATAGGCCTCCCCAAGCACGGTCCTGAGCCACCTGCATCCATCGACTTCCTGCATGTCTTACCAGGTCGTCACTCTATCTCGTGGGGGGTCGCCCTACACTTCGCCTACCGGTACGAGGCTACCACTCATGAACCTTTCTTCCCAATCGGTTGTCGGTTCTTTAAGCTATATGGCCGGACCACTGCCACTTCAGCTTACTAATCCATTGGGCTATGTTGGTTACTCTGGTTCTACTGCGGATATCCTCATTTCTAAGTTTATCACGCAGAGAAACCCCGAGCATAGCCCTCTCTATAGCTCGCTGAGCGACCTTGAGCTTCCTCATACGGCCAGCAGTGAAGGACCACGTCTCAGATCCGTAAGTCTTCACTGGCAACACGCACTGGTTCTACAATTTCGTTTTAAGGTTTTGAGATATGTCTGACGAGAAGATGTGTCGTAGTTTCCAGAACGCTGCCCAGCCGAGTTGAATCCGTCGATTGACCTCTCATTCGAAGTTGGACTTACCTAGTCGGACTATTTGTCCCAGGTAAACATACTCGTCAACAACTTCGAGCTTAGTGCTCCCAACAACTACCGGCATAGGTGTGACATGGACATTAAACATGATCTTTGTTTTGTCCATGTTCATCCTAAGACCTATTCGTTGGGAGACACTATTGAGGTTATTGAGTATGGTGCTTAGGTCCTCCAGCAATTCTGCCATAAGGACTATATCGTCGGGAAATCGAAGGTGAGTGATGTACTCGCCATTGATGTTAATACCGTATCCTTTCCAGTCCAGAAGCTTGAAAACGTCTTCCAATGCAGCGGTGAAGAGTTTCGGGGATATAACGTCACCCTGTCTTACACCTCCCTGCAATTGGATAGGTTTCGTAATCTGGTTCTGTACTCGGATAGCCATCGTAGCCTTACTGTACAAGCACTTCAGCACTTCCATATACCGACAGTCAACTTGGCACCGCTGAAGGGACTGCAGCACCGCCCAAATTTTGACGGAATTAAAGGCTTTCTCATAGTCCACATACGCCAGACATAGCGGCAAATTGTACTCCGCGGACTTCTGTACAATTTGCCGAAGGGTATGTATGTGATCTATGGTGCTAAAGCCCTTTCGGAAACCGGCTTGTTCGGGAGGCTGGAAGGCGTCAAGTCTGCGCGCGAGCCAATTCGTAATGACTCTCAAAAACAGCACGTAGACGCGGCTCAGAAGGGAAATCAGTCTGTAGTTCTTCAAGAAAGTGTTGTCGCCTTTCTTGAAGAACAAGACCACCGCACTTCTGCTCCACACCTCCGGATTAATGCCATCATGGAGGACGGAATTAAAGAGTTTCTGAAGGACTTCAAGTACCGGTCTTCCACCCGCTTTCAGAAGCTCCGCTGTAATTCCATCCTCGCCTGAAGTCTTGCCGTTTTTAAGGTGCTGGAGAGCCATTCTAATTTCTCTCAGACTGACGTCCGGGATATCTTCGGAATAGTGTCGGATAAGACTCGCTCTTGGATCGTTACTCACACTTGCGTGTGGCTCCAACGATGATATGTACAGCTGCCCATAGAAGCTCTCAATCTTACTTAAAATCTCAGGTGTACCAGAAACGACGCTGCCACACTTGGTCTTCAGCTTCGACAGTTGGCTCTTTTCGCCAGACAGATCTCTAGCAGAGACTTTGGAGCCCTGGTTCCGCTCGATCGCTTCTTCAATACAAGCTGTATTGAAGTTGCGTAAGTCCCGCCGCATGCATTTTATTTTATAGGATCGGGTGACAAACGAGCACACAGTCCACCTGATGGTAAGTGGTTACTGTGACCCATAGACATCTACATCTATCCTCAATAAAGACTCAAGATGCAGATGTGTTGTCACCCGTGAGGACTAAGATGGAATGCCTCTTTGCCAGTAAAAAGGGTCTCCGGTTCTCTACACTCACCATACGAAACACAGCAGCGTTAAGCTGCTATTTTACGCTGGTTTTCTGTGAGAGCGTGGTCCTTCCCCGGTCGAGCCGACCCATTCGTGCTACAACCATAATATAGCTGCAGCATGGCTCTACCACTGCATTTGGAGATCTGTCTGTTCAGTTGCCTGTATGCTGTCAAATCTGTTGAAGAATGTAGCTTCATCTCCCGTCTAACAGCCAGAGAGTGTGATCGGAGAGTTTTTGTGTTCTTCTGCGGCAGGTCTTGCAGAACTTAGCTCCGACCGCATGGACAGTTTCCACGAGCTTGTCATTCATATCGTCCACTTCATTGCAGTCTTCTAGGCACTGAAAACGGTTTTGTAACTCGAGCTGAAAGGTTTCGGGACTTTGGAACAGAGCTCGAGGGGGACGGAGCGTTGACTTCATTAGACGAGAACTCTCCAACTTAACGTTCAGGTTCAGTGTGCCTCTAACCATTCGGTGATCGCTACCAGTTTTCACCCTCGTGATCACGGAGACATCACTGAACAGTTGTCGTCTGGTCGTCATAATGAAGTCAATCTCATTTTTTGTGGAACCGTCGGGGCTCGACCAGGTCCACTTCCTGTGGGGCCGCTTCTGAAAGAAAGAGTTCATCATAAAGAGTCCCTCTTTCTCCATGAAGTCGGCCCCTTGGGTTCCGTTGCCCCATTCCAAATTTCCCTACTTTCAGCTCACCGTTCTCTCTTGTGCCTAGTTTTGCATTGAAGTCTCCCATTAACACCGTATATTGGGTTTTGGAGGAATGCATGGCTTTAGAGATATCCTCATACATTTCCTCCACCTCCTGATCGGGGTGTGCCGAGGTTGGTGCGTAAACCTGTATGACCTTCAGCGAATACCGTTTGGTGATTCTGAGTATAAGGTACGCAACCCTCGTCGACACACTCTCAATCTTTACAACGTTGTTAACGAGAGACTTGTGGACGATAAATCCGACACCTCCTTGGGACAGATGGTCGCCCTCCCGGTAATAGAGCAAGTTGCCGGATTCGAGGATTACCGTGGCCTCCCCCTCTCTACGGACTTCGGATAATCCTATAATATGCCAGCGTAACTTGTCTATCTCTTCTTCCAGCTCCACGGTCTTCTCGTCAGTCCTCAGGGTGAGTGCGTTGTATGTTGCCAGGTCGAGTCGTCTTAGGTCGCAACCGAACCTCCACCGGAGATTCTTAGCACCCCCTGCCCCGCCGTTACCATGGTCCCCACCGTAGCCAGGAATAGCGGGACCACCGGGGACTGGGGGCCGTCTCTTTGTTTCTCTCATCATAGGGGGGTATTTGCCATAGTTGCACGCTTGGCAAGCGGGTAGACAACCGCAGTTTTTTTTTATTGTAAGTTTGTTGTTATTAGGAAGATGCTGCTGCCCATCTCCTGCCTGTATCCCTTTGTCGCCTTTTGCGACACCCACGGGAAGATAGGGGGTAGTGGATATTCTTACCCGCCACTACACGGCGTTAGTGAACTTACTTCGCGTTTTTTCATATGTCGCACAGATGACGTTGTTCTTTTGATCGACTTAATGTTATTGAACTTACTTCACGTTTTTACATCCTTCGCACAGATGACGCTGATTACAAAAATCGATTAAAACGTGTAATTCACATAATCGATTTATTAAAATCGATTGTTATTATCAAAAAACCGATTTTTAAATATCGATTATAAGAAAAAAATAATCGATTAATATTCAAATCGATTATTTTTTAACATCTCTAAACGTAGTGATTATATTCTCTTTGATCTCTAATTTGAATTTTGTTATTTTGTTTTGACAGCTATGACACGTGAGGGTAAATCACAGAACACAATTTGGGGTAAATAAATAAAGTCTGAGAAAAAGAAGAGAGAAGAGGCAACTCCACTGTCCAGCAATTATTTTTATTCAATAATAATGTCATTGGATGAGTTATTACCTAACACAAATGATATTAGCAATCCAGCATGTTTTGAGGAAATATTAATAAGGTTAGAATGTATAACTGCAGAAGACGAAGAATTTATGCAGGTATATTTAAGACATTTCACATTCATTAAAAACAATAAACTAACTCTGATTTATATTATTTTGTTGTTAATTTTAATTATTTTTAGTTATTAGTTGATAAGCTGAAAGACGCGGTAATAACTTGGGATCAACCTTGGTATCAACGTTCTAACTGTCTTACGCGCGCTTTTAAAGAGACAAATGTTGAACCATCATGCTCACTTGAAGAGTACCATACAGATTCAATTACAAAAGCAGAAAGTGATCGTATGGAAAAAAATTGGCGAAAATTTAGAAAGGTAAACTCTTTCTTTTCATCTAAAACTTGCTGTTCCCCGTGACTTCGCCCGCGTGTAATTTAAGTTGTTTTTTTTTGCGCGGAATTCTAATTCTTTTTCTAAAATAAAAGTAGCCTTAGTTACTCCTTATAACAGCAGCTATCTGCCAGCGGAAATCCCGTCAAAATCGGTCCAGCCGTTTTGGAGATTAGCCGGAACAAACAGAGACATAAAACTTTTTTTTTGTTTTATGTACTGTATATACTTTCATATGCATTTAATAAAAAAAAAACTATTATTTTGACATTACAAACAGTCACTTCAATTTTATTTTTTTGTATAGATGTTATTTATCTTATTTGTTGGATAAATTCATAAACTAACAGTATTTAATTTTTATCTACTTTAGCAGTTTGATATCCCAGATAAGTTAGCATCTTTTGCAAGATGGAAAAACAAAGATAAAAGTAGAAATCCTAATACACCTGAAGAAAGTGTAAGACGGTTTGTAACTGCATATCTAGCTCGAGGCCTTAAAAGAAATCTTCATCAAGTTTACAGACACATAGTAACTCATTTAAGCAATCCAGTAAGAGGACCGTATTCACCAACTGAGGAAAAGTTAATGGAAATTTGTTTTCAACATAAGCCTACTCATGCAGTTACATATTTATCAATGATACTTAGCAGAGAACCTAGAGGTATTTATAAAAGACTTCAGCAAAAGTATAAAGGTAAAAATTGGGTTATAGTATATTATTTTCATTTTAACTGTTTTGTAACTTTTTATATTCAAAAATGAATTAGAAATACTGTTATAAAAAGCAAAATCTTCAATGTTTAATGTTTATTTGAAATGTGGGAAACTAGTTATAAAGAACTACAATTAATTGAATGTGTAGGGATTAATATCATAGTAAATCATACTGGTATTTCAAGCACAATATGGCTGCCTAAAATAGGGAAAGTTGAACATGAAAATTAATTGGAAAACATGTGTGCAAAAACAAAACAATCTTTGTTATAAGGGAAGATATTATATATTACCCGACATATAAATGATGGTTGTTTAGAAAAATGCTATGATAGAAAGTACCAACCTCATAAAGCTTCAATTTTAATAAAGTACAACATTCATTGAATTTGTAAATAGTGAAATCATGATTATGTGGTTGTACCACATAACAATGACCAGTTACCTAGTATGGGAAAGGCCTTGGTTCGACCAATATCAAAGCTAAGCTAAATTCTACTCTTGGTAAAATTCTACTTTTACTTTGCTCCTTTATTTACAAAAATTAAAATATTGGGTGGTAGAGCATAAATTTGAAAAAAAATCCCTGAGTTAAGGACATCATTATTTAGGAGCTTTAAGAGTCCTTACTATTATAATACAAAAAAATACAAAGCAATTTATCTTTTATTTCTATCAATACACTTGCTGATGTCTCATTATGCCCATGGAATATTAAAAACAAGAGGAAGTGCAAAGTTGGTGCCTCACGCATGCCACAAATAGGCAAAACTAATTAGTACTATGCCTGCCTATTTAGAACAATGTCAGGCTTTTTGTCAATGGTTTACATTGTAGCAAGCCACTGTATACATGGCTACAGCTGCCTGTATTATGTATAAGTAATTATTATAGTCTATGCATAAATTGCTTAAACAATCACAATTTTTTTCTTGGTATGTATACTGTGTTATTCCACATTCTAAAACCAACTCACAAATCATGTTGTGATAATTTATTATAGGATTAGTTTTCTCTAAGTTTTAATGATGTTTTTTGGTCTTGATTACTGCCTGTCAAAAGTCCACTGCTGAAAATAGGCCATCCCTATATACTTCCACTACTTCTTGTTCTTCAGCGGAAATTCTTATTACAGATTTTATTTTATTATTCTAAGATTCCTAGTGATGACTTACAGAGTCGTAAGTCTAGTCCTTCACTACTGACCAATGAGAAAGCTCATTATGCACTTGTTAATATTAATTATATTTTTTTTTAAAATCTTGCAGTTGATAATATACCATATCATTGTAGGTAAACCTTTGAAAAAAAAGTTAAAATGGACCTTACCACTAGCCAGCAAGTTTGTGAATTTGCTCATTCAATATTCAAAGAGTTCTTCTATTGAAGAATTAAAAAATAGAAGATTTGAGAAGTCTGTTTGGCTCAATTTAGAAAAGGATATGGATCAACAGTATATATATTTACAGAAGTTTTGGTATGACGCATTACATGTACAGATTTTTGTAAAAGAGAATGTTACATTAAATGGTTTAAGGAAAAAAGTTTTCACCATGTGAGTATGAAATATATTAATTTTTTGTCTATTAAGTAATTAAAACAGTGTTAAATAGTAAAATAATGGCCCACTTACATTCATTACTATAAACACAGACTTTATGTTATTTCTGAGTGAGTTAACCATTTTGTTTATGCCAGATGTAACATGGCCAAATCTGCGACAAGTGTGAGAAGTGTGTTAGCCACTCCGATTGCTAATCCGCATATTTGAATAAAACTAGTTTTACTACTACTAACTAGATTTGTGGTCTATCAAATCTAATGTACGTATGTGAGGCGCGCGGTCTTATCCACTGGGCTACCATCACCCTAATAGCGAACCACTATAAGTGAATTTCTCTATAGACTATAAATTCCTTATTTCAAGATTTGTTAACTGCTGGTCATGAACCAATAAGGAAATCAGAATAAATTAAAAAATACTTATATAAATGTTTACGTAAGCATTGGATAAGAGCTTTTTTTGCTGATGAGAGGTAGGTGGCAGTCAAAAATTACAAAAAGTTTTGCTTACGTAATACTTGAACGGCACCTAAGGGCAAGATCAATAGAGATGATCGATAGTTCGACATATTTATACTGAGCGGGAAAATACAAACAACAATATTAAGTCCTCTAAAACATCAATAATGTGAACAAAATATTGTTCAAATGTGAACAAAAATTGTTCATGGACTGATAAGTAAAATAAAAAGTTATTTTTGATTAATGACATCTTTATTAAGGTCCATGGTATAATAAATATGTTTGCCTACCTTTATAGCATCTGTAAACTGCTAATATAATATTTTTTGCAATTTTCAGATTGCAGGATAGTTCCTATCAAGTATGGCGTGACATTCGGTGGAAAGAGCTACTGAATTTCTTTCCAGATGGTTTTACTCACACATTTTTATACAAGATTTCTTTAAACATATTCAGAAGCAATCTGCTTTGTTTGAAGCAACCACTTACGAAAATTTTAGAATATGCTTTCTATAAGATAAGGATCAACCATCGAAATAAACAATTAAGAAATTTAATTCATAAAGATGGTTATCTAAATGTAATCCATTATAATAATGTCAATTCAAAGAAATGATATGCAAACTGATAGTACATATTTACAAAAGTACAGGTGTTTATCATTGCTTTTAAAAATTAAACAAAAACTAAATTTTACTATGGGCTATGGCATACGTAAGATGTTAGCCGAGCATAAGGTGTCTAATCGGTAGTATTAATGAGCTGGAAATAGTCGCAAATTGTAATTTTTTTATCTCTGGAACGATCATTTAACCTTACCATCGTTTCCTATCTCCACTCTCCACCTAAGGCACGGCTGACGACTTCGGCGTGCCCATAACGGTAATATGACGACACTAGACACTCAAGTCTACCGAGTGCCGCATTCGTACACTATCGCGACATAAGTTGTTCATGTACTTTCATTTTAATTTAATGTCTTACACCAGTGTCGATAGTGTATACATGATAATAAATTCTTGTATTACTACTAAATAGACATGGCGTCCGCGCTGAAGTATCCGAGCTAAAAGAGTTCCAAAATAAGAAAATAATTTCAATAGCGCGCGCCAGTGTGCGTTTTGTCGACCGACTTAATACACGTCCAAAATGACGTACTGTATTGTGAAAACGTGCAAAAACTACTTTGTAAAGTCAGAAAAGAGGATGGTGTATCATATTTTTGGTAAAGACTATCGATATTTAATAATTTAAAAGAATATTTTGCTTAGATACATATTTTTTTTTTAAATTCATTTTAATTGTGAAAACAAAACCATACCGATAATTTCCACTAGATAAAATAATAGTACGGCCTCTAGTCGAAGTTAATAGGCTGATAAATTATCGCAAGTAAAATTGAGCAGCTTCCTAATGACAATATGGTTTGAATTAGGATGTTATTTTTTTTATTATGTACGAGCAGCTATGCCGGTCTAGAAACCAGTATCATTGCGACCTAAAAGATCAATTGATCGCTTCTATGTCTATAGTTCACTGCTAAGCCCTACGTCCTCAATGAATAGTTTCACTTCTGGACGAAGTACATAGTTTCCCAGATGAATGCTACTTTTGCGCATTAAGGGTCCGCAATTAGTCAGGATGTGTAAAGGCGTTTCCTCCTCCAGGGAGCAAAACCGGTACTTCCTTGAGTTGCTTAGTCCCAGGATGGACATGTGCTTTTTGTGCTTGATGTGCATGGGCTTCCGAAGTGAATGTACGATCGAAAGCCCGGATTAAGGTTTTAGAATGTTTTAAGTCTGGTGTATCAGACCAGATCTTACGTGATTGGTTGTGGTAAAGAGTTTCCAGGATCAATCGGGCGAGGCTTTTTGAGATTTCACAAAATGACTCTGGTCCAAATTGTGTACATTTTGAGCCCTCCCGTGCGAGCCTGGCGGCTATTTCATTGCCTACAATGCCCGCGAGACGCGTAACCCATCTTGAAACTACCCTGTTGTTACGTCCCAGGGCGTTTAGATAAGAGCATGATGAAACACAACCAACCAAGCGAAAAAAAAACTCAAGACCCAGACCGCAAAAAATAACAAAGTAAAACATCTTGCAAACATATTTTGCTATTTGTACTGACCCTTATTTAGAACCATTTTAGTTACGTCCGTGGATACCAAACTATCCACAACAAAGGACCCGAGGAACACAGTAACATTTTTAAGGAATCTTCAGTGAATATAGTTTAATTCTGTTTATAAAGTGCATTATTATGATTATTACGAATTATCACTTGTTGCTTAAATATAATTTTACTGAAAAAGAAATTAAAGAAAACTAAAATTGGGCTGACAACTTGACAACGGCCATTTTTTTGAAACTAGCTGTAAAAAAATGGCCGTTGTCAAGTATTTTACTTTGAATTTAAAATATTACTCGATTTTACACTTAGAACTGTGATATGTATAAGTAATTATAAATCATCTAGTTTACTTTGACGTATAATAATCTAAGAAATATGAAATAAAACTAAAGTACTTACGACATAATCGTTGGCACTCCAAAAAGAGTGTAGCACTGAATTCAAATAGTTCATTCGTCAAGACTTGTTACACTGCCATCTCGTATTTAATAAGTTAAATAGTTCGTCAGCTATCGATTCCATAAACAAAACTCACAAAAATATCCGCAGATGTCCATAGATGTCAGTTTTATAAAACTTGACGCTATGGATACTATAGTATCCATGACGTACAACTCTACTTTTATTATATATGGATATGGATAGCGTAGTATCCATGGACGTTTCAGTGGCTAAGCACTCTGTACCGCAACTGAGATTTTAGATTGCACATGGTAAATTATTTCAAGCTCATTTTAAATTAAACAAGCAGCTATTTTTTTTTATTTTAACTCTGTAATAACACCAATTAAAAAATAATATTATCACTTGCGAAACAATGTTCATTTTATGTAAATAATTCTTAAATTTTCTGTGGGCTATTAGTATACCTGTATATTTATATTTAAAAGTATTTCATGGTTGATTGCTTTCTTTAAAAGGATTATGATCATCTGGATGATAATGATTTAAAAAAATATTGTTACTGACATTGACGTTTTATATGATATTGTTCAATTATCACTTCTAACAATGTAATTATCACAAAATTTACATTGCAGATACATATCATACGTTTTAAAAATAACTTCAATTTAATTATTTCGTTACAATAAATTTTACCGCATATGGTATATCGGGGTAAAAAAATACCAGTTTTCTTATTCTTTTTATAAGTAATTTGTCAGTAAATATAAAAAATATTTAAAGGTATTGTAAGTCCCGATATGTAGCAAAACCTGAATGTGATTTCGGTTTAAGTTCCAGTAAGTCGCAAGTAAGTATAATATAATATATATTTACCCTATAATTTTTAAATTTTATTATTTCTGGTAGATTGTTCTAAAACATTTATCATTGTAATAAGCGCCCTCTGTTACGTCTGGTAACATTACCAAATGAGTTAGTGATTGACAACGTTTATCGATAAAAAAATATTATACCAGGATTCATATTTAATCATATACAATATTTTAGGAGGTGAATACAATAAACGATAATGTATCCATACCAATATAAGTCGTGTCGTCGTCTTGTGTCGGGACACACGGCCGTTGGTACAACCAGTCAACAAGATAGCCTTCTTTTTAAAATTTCAATATAATTCTGGCAGAGTCGGGAAGGTACGCCCTAGGCGAAAGTTTATAGACCAAACTGGCGATATATTGAAAATGGGCCAAATCAATAGTACCTTTAACCGACGAGCGTGTATGAGTAGGTATATGGATATGGAGGATGCGAGAGAGGTGTGTCAGGATCGTAACAAATGGAAGTCCATAATCTCTGCCTACCCCTCTGGGTGACAGGCGTGAGTGTTTATATTTATATTCTACAACACCAGGAGAATTGCAGATGCGTTGCGGTCTTTTAAAAAGGAGAAAGCTCAAGATCAAGTCATATCGGTCTATAAAAATCGCCGATAATAAACGATTCATAAGAAAACTCCTAATAAATAGCACGGTAGTGGACTGTCAAGCATCCAAATAATGTGGATGGTAAAGTAAGTTTTGTCGCAATGTGTATTGGTGAAATTTGGTGGCTGGAATTAGTCCGAACAATTCATCATAGTTCAGAGCGCGCCCCGTGGTAAATACGATAGAAAATGCAAAGGGATGCAACATCTCTACGCAGCGCCAGTGAATCGAGCCAATCAAAGAGGACTCGGTCGTCGACGATTCGAGCCGCTCTGCTCTCTATGCGGTCAAATGGAAGGAGCTCGCACTGAGAAGCCCCGGCCCAGAGATGAGAACAGTATTCCATGTGAGGCCGAACCTGCGCTTGTAAAGTTGCAAACGGTGTGCATGCATGAAATACTGTCCCGCTCTACTGAGTACGCCAAGATTTTTAGAAGCCAATTTGGATTTCTCTTACAAGTGACCATGCTACTACAGGTCATTCGATATGTCGACGCCGGATATTCCGCTACTGTCTGCGGCAACAAGGGAAATCCTCTGAATTTGAGGAGATACGACAAAGGTGTTCTTTTTAGCGGTAAACGCGCAAACTTGTGAATTTGTGTAATAATTTATCGTGCAACGACTTTTAAGTTCATCATCATCATTACAGCCTTTCATAAGTCCACTGCTGAACATATGCCTCCCCCAAGGAATGCCACAAAGCACGGTCCTGATCCACCTGCATCCATCAACTTCCTGCATGTCTTACCAGGTCGTCACTCCATCTAGTGGGGGGTCGCCCTACACTTCGTCTACCGGTACGAGGCTGCCACTCGAGAACCTTTCTTCCCCATCGGTTGTCGGTTCTTCGAGCTATATGGCCGGTCCACTGCCACTTCAGCTTACTAATCCGTTGGGCTATGTCGGTTACTCTGGTTCTACTGCGGATATCCTCATTTCTAAGTTTATCACGTAGAGAAACCCCGAGCATAGCCCTCTCCATATCTCGCTGAGCGACCTTGAGCTTCCTCATACGGCCAGCAGTGAAGGACCACGTCTCAGATCCGTAAGTCATCACGTGCAACACGCACTGGTTGTACAATTTCGTTTTCAGGTTTTGAGGTATGTCTAACGAGAAGATGTGTCAGTTTCCCGAACACTGCCCAGCCGAGTTGAATCCGTCGATTGACCTCTCGGTCGAAGTTAATTTATTTATTTATTTAATTTATTTAGAATATAATTATAATTTATTTATTTGAAGTTACCTAGTCGGACTAGTTGTCCCAGGTAAACATACTCGTCAACAACTTTGAGCTTAGTGCTCTCAACAACTACCGGCATAGGTGTGACATGGACGTTAAACATGATTTTTATTTTGTCCATGTTCATCTTAAGACCTATCCGTTGGGAAACACTATTGAGGTCATTGAGCATAGTGCTTAGGTCCTCCAGCGATTCTGCCATATAATATCGCATCCTTTTCAGTCCAGTAGCTTAAAATGTCTTCCAATGCAGTGAAGAGTTTCGGGGATATAACGTCACCCTGTCTTACACCTCTCTGCAGTTGGATAGGTTTCGTACTCTGATTCTGTACTCGGATAGCCATCG